AAATCTAAACAACGTCACGGTCATGATTTCCTTTGTTTAAACTTGATGAATTATTAATGATTTAAGAAAGTGAGGTAAAGGTTTGGCAGTTAGTATAAATTGAAGGAAGAGAGTGAAGAAACAGGTTCATCTGTAATTGGTGCAAAAGAATAACAACTGGCATGTGGAAGATTGTTAGGGGTAAACGGGTGGTGAAATAACACAAGGAACAGGTATAGAAAAAGGAACTCGACACAAGTTCTACAAAGGAGAGATGGAGATTAATAAAATGGGTAATAAACTGCAGGGGTGAGGAACATGGATGGAAATTGTAAACCTCAGTTACCTTCAGGTAGTTGACTGCTTGTATCTTTAATTTTATTAAGGATATTTTGGCTGTTCTCATCAATATCCAATACGTCAATCTCTTGCTTGTCCTGCCGAAAATGAAAATAATCACAATGAAACGAATATATTAGTAGAGGTAATTGTATGAATGTGATTGCAATTTAGGATTTACTCTACAAGTGATATAAATCATATTTGAAAACTCTTCCAAAACTGCACAAGCCTTTGGTGTTGTGCAATTTGAACTAATTTTCAAATATCACAAGTTAGTACGTAAGTAAACACAAACTAGTATGTACATAGTGTAAATTCTTAATTGCTCGAGCTTCCACACGATGACTCAATTATCATATGACTGAGAAAATTGCGAACACGCGCGCGTCAGTTTGCACTGCACTGCAAATTAGAATTAACGATAAATTGGCCTGCTCTCAGCCAATCACATTGAAGTAATTTTCCCAATCATATAATAAGGAGTGAAATTTACAGAGCCAGATTACTAGAGACACCTGGTGCAAAGAAACATCTGACAAGAAGGAACAACATGCAAATTAATTACAGTTAACCAATAAAATTTTCGATCAAATAATGGCAGCCAACAGACAGAGAAAACTGCTGTAAAATGTTTGATTCATCATGACAGCATTCAGAATTTTTTCTTAAGTTGTTAAAATAACTGAAAAAAACTATAATATTACAGAAATTTTAGGAACCAAGCAAAAGAAAGAAGAGAATCATTAACTTACCATTTCTTCCCGAAGAAAAGCTTCCCTTTCATATCTTTCCTTCCGTCGCTGAATCTCCTCTTCCGTACTCAATTCAACAGCTTCAGCTACCTCATCACCCCATAGATCTTTGTTACCAAAAAGATCAAATTGTGAATTTTCATCAATACCCCGCCATCGGAAATGTCTTGTACGGCCCTGACCATCCGTGTACAGATCGCCATCAGGAAGAAACATCTCTTTGACAGCTCTGAGGTCGGCGTTGTCCTGCTCGTGGATGGATTTCCTGGTAAAACCAGTAGTACAATTAATTAATTAATTAATAAAAATTTATCATGACGTTTGCTTGAAAAGGTTCCCAGGTAAAATCCTGTGAACAATTCCACCACCGGCAATAAGGCCAGCCTAACTTTTATTGAAGATCAAGGAAACAAATGATTGCCTAATGAAGAACTTTCAATCAACCAAAGGGTGAGAACTGGAATCAGCAAAGATGCTTCCTTTGTGGGTAGAAATTTTGAAAAATTGGAGCACGGTAGATCTAAGTATTTCTTTAATTCTGGGTGCAATTTCGGTTTATGTATTTTGCTGGCAATTTCCATCTTGAAATGAACTGTTTGAGTCAAAAACTTTAAATGCACAAGAAACAATTGTTTTAGTGTGAGAACATGTATGGGACTCATGCTTAAGATGTGAAACTTCAGGGCTCTGTCAGTAGAATTACAAGAGGTTAACCAAGTGACATCATTTTGTTCAGTCATGGCACTTACATGTGAGCTTTGTTGATTTGTTTCTGAAGTTCCTCGTCAGATGGCAATTCTTCTCCACCAGAATCTTCCTCCAACACGTCATCGTCTGTGGCGATATCTTCATCTTCATCGGAACCCACATCACTTCCTGAAAGCTCTGCTTCCTCTTCCAAGAAATTTCTTTTGTCAAAAATATTGCTGCGGTAATTAAGTGAAAACAGAAAGACAGTATTAATGACCTACTATAACCACAAAAACACTTTTACTACATTTTTAGAACCCCTCAAAATGAACAATCATGTGTACTATTTAAAGCATTCATGGTCGAGTGTTGGTCAATATCCTCAATCGACCTTCAGTTGACCAATACTCAGTCGATGCAAGACCGACACTCGATTGACACTTGATCGAGAGTCGGTTGATACTTGGCTGAGTGTCAGCTGACTCATATGTATCGACACTTGATTTCGTCTGCAAAAATTAGTTGACTCTCAACTGATTGTCAACTAAGATGCCAAACAAGTGTTGACCAAGTATCGATCAAGTGTCCATCAAGACGTTGATCAAGTGTCAGTTGAGATGTCAATCAAGGGTCAATCAAGGGTATCAATTGACACTCGACCGTGGATGCCTTTATAGTACACATGATCCAATTGGAGTAACCCTGTCGCACACCTTTTCTTTGCCTCATATTTCTTGCCATATTTTCTTTGTATGATCATCTCTTCAGGATCACTTTCCTCTTCTCCGTCACTCTTCTCGACAGGTTTCCTGTTTTCATCATCATCGTTATCACTCTTCATAGTCTTGTCCTCCTGTTCACCCAACTCACATTCACTGTTTTCAGAATCATTTTCTAAGTTCCTTGAGACATCATCATCAATCTCATTTTCGCCATCTGTAAACTTTCCTGAACACAAGCCCAACAACTCATTCATGTCAAATTGCTTGCTTTGTGTGTGAAATGTCAAACCCTTCTGAGGTCCCTTTGCATTATCTTGAGTTTCAACGTTTTTAGCAGTTCTGCTGTCTTCACTGTCACTAAATCTTCCTGAGCATAAACCAAGCAGCTCCTTCATGTGTGGCTGGGTGTCGCTGTTCAGGTCGTCATCAAAGAGTTTCTTTGTTTTTGGTTTACTCTTTTTACTGGAGTTAAGGAAACTGCAAGACAAAAATTATGTGGAGAACAATGTCATTATAAAATTACGTACTTTTCTAAAACCAATCAGGTGCTTAGATGAGAAGATTACAGACGTTTCCAATAAAGTGCTAAATTTGTCTAGTTTCTGGTAATTATTGCCAGTTTCAGTGGGTGCATGATACAACTGGGAATACAGTGTGACGCTAGTTCATTATGCATGTAGGTTCTGGTTACCCAATCCCCTCTTCCAACACCATTTCCCTAAAATTCAGCAGTACCCACAGGCAGTCACACTCTTGGGTGGAGGCAGGAGGCATTGCGACATAAAGCATCTTGTCCAACAAGTCCATTACACAAATGAATGACAGTTACTTTTCTAATCACAAAGACAACTTTCAATTTTATCACCATTTTGCTACTTTTCCACCACCTCTACCTCATATACAGTTGAAGCTCACCATTTGGAACTCTCAGGGGAAACGGAAAGTAGTTCGAAAAAGTGAGAGTTCAAAATAATTGATAGTAAATGACTGAGGATCAAATCCAAGAGAAATGGTTTTGAGTTCAAAATAACAGGGAATTCAAAATAATCAAGTTCAAATAAACAGGGTCCAACTGTACTATCTTTCCCTTTGGGATGGCAAAGGAATGAGTCAAACTGCGACAGATTGTTTTGCTATGACAGACGTACCCCTGAGTGTTCAGTATTTGCGTAAACTGTGTATCTTCATCAAGAGAGAAGTGGAAATCATTAGACTTAGTCTCTGCTCTGCTTCCAACGTGTTCAGAGTTGTTGGTTTCTGCATTTCTGTCACTTCCATTGTCAAACAAATCCTTCAAAAACAATGGTAGGAATANTGCTGTGACAGACATACCCCTGAGTGTTTAGTATTTGCGTAAACTGTGTATCTTCATCAAGAGAGAAGTGGAAATCATTAGACTTAGTCTCTGCTCTGCTTCCAATGTGTTCGGAGTTGTCGGTTTCTGCATTTCTGTCACTTTCATTGTCAAACAAATCCTTCAAAAACAATGGTAGGAATAAACAGTGATGACAAATAACTTTGGGGGGCAGGGTCAGTTTTGCTTTGCTTGCCCTCCCAGCTTTTTTCCTTCTGTGATTATTTTTTTACCCAAAATAAAAGGGGGAGGGGTGAAGGGTGGGCCCCCCAGGCCCCTCCCCTAGATCTGCCACTGAAGAGTCAGCCAAAGATGATACAACAATGCGTTGATTCTATTTTTAGTAGAAGGCCAAGTGGGCCTCCAGACCCCTAGAATGAAACAGCTTGACATACAGGAAAAGACATAGTTAGAAACTTACAGTTGTCCAAGAGAATAGAACATGTNAAAATACTACATAGAATTATATTGTTGATTTGTCCTTGCTGTATCAGCAAACTAATAATTTTGAAAAACATGTCTGGATATTCTAGACTTAAAAAATCACAGAATTCATTTCAATACAAGTTGAATCAGACACTTCTGTGCACATTGTGGTTCATTATCTACAGTAATTTAATTTCTGCAGGTGACAGACTGTCTGAACAACACTCTGAAAACTTGAATTGATTTTCTCCATTCTATTATATCATGTACACATCTCTTCTCTTAAGAATTCAATATAGTTTTACTCTCAATATCCATAGCAACCTTCAAATAACTGGAGACCGACTAGAAAACTTTCGTGCTACCTCAGTCTCCAGACTAAAATATACATTATTTTTCTGTCCATCTATTTATATTTATATCTTTTTGTAAAATTGTGTAAATAAAATAAAGTTGTTGTCGTCTGCCTATCACCTTCTTTATAGACTGTGTATCTCCATCATTTGTTAAGCCAATCAAGTTCCTAAGCCTTGAGAATGAAGAGAATGTCTCTGGTGTCTTTTTGTCAGAACTTCTGTCTTCATTTTCCTGAGTATTATTATCCCCTTGCCCTGGAGGAATCCTACTGCTGTCACTGCTGGCTTCAAGGCTATTAGTACATTCACCAAGCGCCGACGCCGATGCTGACCCTTCTCCAAAGCTGGATTGGCTGGATTCCTGTGATATGTCAGAAATGTTTGCCAAATGCTTTTCTCCTTTTCTCACTCCTGTCGTGAGCTTTGTTGAGACTGGCAAGCTTGGGAAATTGAAATTTGTGTCATCGCCTTCCTCTAAGCTGTCAAGACGAAGGCAAAGACTTGCCACACTCTCCGCACTATCTTTTTCTGTGTTGCTGTTCTTTAGTGAAGGTTCATCTAGTGGTCCTCCTTTAGAGTGGCTGTCGCAGAAAAGATCCATTGTTTTCTCCTCGAGATTCACCATTGATTGTTTAGGTTTCTTTCTTTTCTTTTTTGATTTCTGGTTGGAGGTTGTCTCAGACAATTCATCGTCACTAAATACCAAGTTTTCATCGGCACTGTTGTCACTTTCACCTCCATCACTAATGTCCCCCTCAGATCCAGAGTCAACATCATATCTCCTGTTATCATCTTCACCATTATCACTTTCATCGGCCTCGTCTTCTATAAAGGCATTCTTATCTTTTGTTTCTTCTTCTTCCAGTTCACTGTCACCTTCCTCTTGTTTTCTTTCATCATCTTCATTCCATTTGTCTAGTTCAAAATCAGAATCATCTGTGAAATATAACATTCAAAGGGATCACAATGATAAATTATGTGTGATGCTTTAGGTAATATCAACTACATGTACTTATTAACCCAGAGTGAGGTCTTCACAGGAAAATCTCAAACCAAGATTGATAGCAAAGTATTGGTTTGAGATTTTCCTGCAAAGGCCAAACATTTGAGGTTAATTTAAGTAGTTTTTCGTCTGGGCTATTAAAAGCTGTTTGGCTGTTTCCTTTGTCACGTCTGGCACCAACTTGATTGTAACTTAACACCGTGGAGTTGCTGTTCTTCTGAAATTGTAGCTCATTAGGGTAATAGAATTCACTCTCAGAGTGTTCCTTGTCACTCATAATTTCCCACACACACACACACACAAAAACAATGATTTACTTTTTGCTTTGTTTTCCAGGCTCCTAATTAGGCCAGGGCATTACAAGAGAATAATGCCCCACAATTAGCCAATCAGAGCACATGTTATATCAGCTACAAACACAAGTCATATAATTAAGTGTTAACATTTACACCTATAGACCTGTTGAGCCTTGTTATATTAATTTATAATTATTATTCTATTTCTCCACTTTTGCAGCTTCAATTTGAGACAATGCTTCCATGTCTTCATCAGGCACATCACAAGACAGTAGAATTTGCATTCTAGGGCTTTGGAAGCTTGCTTTTAACAAGGTGGGGCAATTTCCTGTACCACCAGTTTTCCAGTGAGCCACCAATTACCAATAACAAATAATAGACAAATTATTTTTGTCATGCCTTCTTCATCTGTCATTTCCTCTTCCTCCTCTTCACTCATTTCTTCATTATCTAACTTCCGCTGGGATTCCTGTATTTTCCTAACTTCAGCTCGTTTCACTTTCATTTGTTTTTGTAGTTGCTCCTTAAGAAGTTGGAGTCTGGAGCCTGCAAAAATGTAAAGAAAATGCAGGCATTCAGCTGTTATTGGGGTTGAATATTCACAAATACATTTTTTCAACCATGTGCATTTCAAGTTGCAGTCAGCAATCAGCAATCAGCAATCAGCAGTCAGTCAGTCCGTTGCTTAGTTGATCGGTCAGTTGGCCAGTTAGTTGGTCATCAAAGTAAATTTATATAATTTTGTAATTTATGTAAATTCCCAGAATGTCAAGGGATGTAATTTGACTTGTACTATTGCATATCAAGTGTATTTCTTAAAATCACTTCAAATAATATAAACTAAAGATGAAGGAAGTGCCTTACCAGGAGTTGCATCCTTCAATTTGTCATCAGAAACTACAGAGATAACTCCTCTAGGTTTTGGTGTGCCCTCAGTGTTTATCACATCTGTTTGATTATCGTTTGCATCAGTAGATCGCACTGGAGTCACAGATTTATCTTGAGGCTTTGTGGTGTGTTTCATAAACCTGGAAAAAAATGAAAGACGGAATGTAATTACCAACTAAGATCACCACTGGTTATTTGACAAGCTGGCTTAAAGTGTAATTATCAGATCATGTGCACTAAAGGCATCTGCGGTCGAGTGTCGATTGATAACCTCGATCGACCCTCGATTGACACTCAATCAACATCTTGACAGTCAACCATATTTTTGATCGATTCATATGAGTTGGTCGACACTTGGCCAACTATCAACTGACTGTTGATCAAGTATTGATAGAGTTTCAACTGAGTATCGATCAAGAGTATTCATCGATACTTGACTGTGGATGCCTTAAGAACACATGATCCTAATTTTCTTCAACTACAAGAATGGGACACATTTACTTATCTATTAATTTATTGTCCAATGGCCTTTTTTATGGAACAAGAATCCCCCCAACAAATCATACAAAATTATGACTTGTGAACATTTTTGCGATAAATTCTGACTACTTTAAGGCTACTATATCAGTTTTATATTACGGTGAGCAAGCAAGTGTCAGATTGTCATGTACTTCACGTGGATATATTTCAGTTTGTTTAATTTTTTAAAAGTTTTTATAAGCTGCAAAAAATTACACAGAAATACAGAGTTGACTAATTTTTGCAGACACTTCCATTGAGTGTACATGAATGAGTCAGATGACAATATTAAGCCGACTATTGACCAACTGTCAATGGAGGGTCGATCAAGATGTTGATCGAGTGTAAACTGAGTGCCGGCCGAGTATCGATTGAGATGTCAATCAAGCGTCGATCGAGGGTATTAATCGACACTCAACCGCAGATGCCTAAGGAACACATGATCAAGCTTTTTGAAACCATTCTATTCTGAAACAGTTACCTTTCCATTAATCTCTGAACTCCTTTATTTGCATGTTTTGATGAAGATGGGGTATCATCCATGTCCAGGAAGAAGGGATCTGCTGCAGCACTCAGTTTGGGTGTGGCTGCTTTAATGGCCCACTTTACTCCATTAACAGCTCCTGTGGGACTGGCAGTATCCCCTGGAACAGGACTAGTAAGCTTGTGATCATCAGGCTTATCGTCACTAACTGGTGAAGTATTTTCTGGCGTATTACCTGATGACTCTGCAACTTGTAGCCTCCTGGTGAGACAAAGAGCATTGTATCACAATTTGGGAGATGTTGTGAGAGATGTAATAGCTTAATATTCAATGGTTTTGACTCTGGCTCATGGAATTTAGGTTGCAAGTTAAACAGGAGTTTCTTTGACGTTTTCAGCAGGAGGGTAACTGGTTTTCACAGGTGGGCAAAATTTTTTGAACTGAACTTCTTTATAAGGAAAACTTTCCTCTAGATGGTCAAACCAGGCAGGCAAAAGCATGGTCACAGCTGGTCAATTTGCCCAGTGCCCAGCCGTTAATGAAATCCCTGGTTGAAGCCATTCTTGGGCCACACACTTTACTCTGACAGTGCCATTCTCTACTTACATGCATGCAGAGGTGTATACAAAGGTACCAGAGAATTGTTAGGGCAACCAGATTCAGCAAAAAAGGAAATTAAGTCTGATAGCCCAGGACTAGTGGATTTTGCATTCGGGCTAGTGGATTCTGTCCTTCCTGGCCTGATGGCAAGTGAAGTTTCCTGAGATATACTTTTGAGGAAATTCAAATTACAGACTGAGGTACTGTAAGATATGACATTTTTGGGGGCTAGTGAGAGTGACTTTCAAGCTGGTACATCACAGTTATTAATTGCAGATATGACCAAAATGAAAACCCTCCAAATTGGCTTTCTTTCTACCCTGCAGGATTGCTGGAGAATAATGTACAATGGACTGACACTCCTTGTTGCTTCATGCTATAGAAACTGGAGTCATATATGAGCTGTAGTAGATATAAGCCACTCCGCTTATGTACCTTACCCCGGTCTCATGAGTCATTTCACTTAAAAGTTGTCAGTGACACAAATGCTCAGTAAAGTTAGTGTGAGTCATGGCTAGTTTGCTTGTTAGTGTTCTGTGGCAATGTAAAAAGAAACAATACATATCTTGATCAATTTATTACCTTGCTGTTGTTTTTTCATCTGTTAGTGGCACCCTTTTCAGAAAATGTGATATTGGAAGAACTGTTGGCTGGTGGTATGGCAGTCTGACTATTTTTTCTGAAATAAAGAAAGTAATGATCAGACATAACCTTGTTTTTCAGATACTGTAGNAGGCCAGGTCTAACTTCTCGAGGAAGACGTTTGTGCTTCCACTTCGCTCTTGTATCTCCTTTAGTGCTGCTTTGCCTTTCTCCAGGTTGCGACAGCCAACTATTACTTTCGCCCCCCGCTTCGCCAAATCCACTGCAGTTTCTTTGCCGATGCCGGTATTACCGCCTGTGATGACAGCTGTTTTGCCTTCAAGGCGTTTGGTGCTGTGGCATTTAGGTCCTTGGAAGTACCTTTTCCCTGCATAAAGTACTGCAATTGCTGCTGCACCTACTGCTAGTGGAACCGCCATGTTGATCGATTGTTTGGGTGGGTCAGGCGGAATTTTGAAAATGTAAACAACCCAAGGCTCTTTGTGGGCACAGTCTGAAAAAACATCACGCAAACATAATAGCAAAGAAGTGACAGGGGTAGGGTGGAGGAGGTGTTTGCCATTTGATGTAAGACATATTTCCCTTGTTTTGTGCTTTCCCTCAACATATTTGTCCCCAATTCCTTTTATGGTAGTCTTATAGTATCTTAAATTTATTTGGATTAAAAAGAATATTAATTTTTGGCAATACCCCATGCAGGCAGCCCATCTAAGTGACATTTTATATGCTTGGCGATTGTGTTACAATTTCAGGCATTGTAAGATAATCAGCATGGAAATTGCTGTAATAAATGCTACGTGTCGAAAAGATTGTCATTGTCTTCAATAGCAGTGTTTGGAACAACTACCAAGTGTAGTGAAATTTTAGATTTTTACATTAAAGCTAGTGAAAAGATGGAAAACCTACCAATGTAACAATGGTATGGATTCAACTGATGGAAACTTACACTAACTCTTCATACTTACACTGTAACAGCAAGTCGTTTTCTACATGTAAAAATGACCCCTCTTTACCTTTGTGAAGTCTTATAAGCCAATTACTATAAAAGTTAATTCTCTGGTAAAAAATCAAAGCCCTGTCTCCTAACCCCTCCCCCAACCCTCCAAAGTAATATAAGCCACTGGCTTATAGTTAATTATGTTCACATTACTTTTTCTGGTAATATGTTTTAACCTGTTTTCTATTTGTTGTCATTCAGGGATTTTTTTGCGGGGGGGGGGGGGGGGGGGGGTGCACACTCCCTGCAACCTCCTCCTAGATCCACCCTTGTGCGCTAGCAGAGCTGTTTAGTATACAAATAGGCCATTTCTGAGTTAGCTTGGGCATGTCTCAAAACAAGTCCTCTTATGAAACCATTTATATAAAATGAGTTTGATTTGCAAGACAATGAACTTGTAGGGAGGGGGGGCACAATTTTAAATGAATGGTTTCGCACAGAGAGTAGCAGTGGCTTGTTTTGACACAGTGGCAAAAGGTAACTTGGAAATGGCATATCATATTGGACTACATTTTGTAGTTCTAGTGTGATGTTGTAGTGTTTGTCTGAGAAATCTAGAGTAATGACAAAAGAGAATAAACTATTTCACAAACCTCTGACAATTCTTTGTGTTTCACTATACAATGAAATGAGTTCCGCCTTCTTTGCCTTGCGAGGCTTAGGAGACTAAAATATAAAAACATACCACATATGTCATGTCCCTTTGCAGACCTGTACGGGTCCGCAAATGATCCTAGGACCGCAAATGATCCCGGACCGNGGGTGGGGGGGGGGGGGGTGGTGGGCTGGCTCTAGCCCTCCCAATTGCAAGCAAAAAAATACATGAAAGTAATGATAATTTTACAAATATCTCCAAACCCCTTACAAGTTAGTGCCTCTGGCGCTCGCTTGTAAACCCCCCACCACCCCCAATTCAAAATAGGCTCTGCCGTCCCTGTTACTTGGGTTTGTTCAAGGACATGTGATGTTCATTTAACTATCATCACTAAGAGGAAAGTTTTCTAGGCACTGAATATTCCTTTATGTTTGTTTGTTTTCTTTTCCCATGTACTATTCTTGATAGCCTGCAAAAACAGCTGTCCTTCTTTGCTCCCTATCTGGGGTNAATGCTCGTGTCAATGTGTCACGCTCTTGGTCACGCCCTGAAAAAAAAAATTTCTTTGACGTTGATATTGTGGTAAAAAACAAATCGAATTTGGTTTAGCGTTGTCTGTCCTCTTTCGACAACGATATGCGTCATCATAGTGGTCAAAATATTGTGGACTCACGAGGCGCAACCGAGTGAGTACACAACAAATTTTGACAACTGTGATGACCCATATCGTTGTTGATAAGAGTACAGACAACGCTAAACCAAATTCGATTTGCCCCTAGTTTTCGCTGTATTCCTGTGCAATTAGTACACGCGTGTAAACACTAAAAGGGACTAGTTCTGAAACCAATCCACTCGTGTAAAATTGGCAGAGGATTTGACGTAAGGACAAGTGTGCCGACGATCAAGTCATCAATAAAACCTTCTAGAAGCATTTTACACCTCAGTGGTAGCTATCAAAGTTAAGGTCCAACTTACACAGGTTACTTCTAAGCTTAATATTTTTACCTCTAACTCAGCTTACCTTCTTTCTTGATTCTCGTTTTCTCTGTTTATTCTTCTTTTTAGGCATTGTATCTTCGTCAGAATCACTATTTGCAGCTTCTTCATTTGAGTTTTCTTGGTTTTCCTTGTCAAGCCAATCGGGCGCTGAAGACTTAGAAGCGTTTCCATCCTCCGAGCAGTCGCCATTTTGACCGCCATCACTGTCTTCGCCGAGCTCCGCGTCGAATAAGTCATCGTTTGCGAATTGCTGTGCCATTTCCGAACAAGAAAGGGTTACTTTCGAATTGAAAAGTAATGAAACACTGAAGACAGTCTTACCTGAAGTACATCTACGGCTCCGGGCATTTTCATTCACGTATTGCAGAAAGACCAGAAACAAAAGCAAATTTCGCGCCAAACGTCGAATTATCGTTGGCATGTCGATAAAAGTTCGGAATATGTCGAGACAACCTCGGAGTATTTTCGTAAAGAGGCTTGGTTACGAAGATTTTTTGGTCCGGCCATTTTTGCATTTGAACGTGAGAAAAGGTCATAAGCTGAAAATAGAAACGTGTGCATAGGCACAAACAGCAAGAAAAATCAAATACCGAAACATGGATCCTTCCCTGCTCAAGGATTTAAAAGATTTCAAGGCAAGAAGTATAAAACAGCCGACTGTTGAATCGAAAAAGTCAAAACCAACAAGTAACGAACCAAGATCAAAACCAAAAGTTCCTAAGAGCAGCTATCTTCCAAAGGAGCTGTTACAACCAAAGAAACCAACAGCTCCTTCTACTGACTACAAAACGCATCCTTTTCGAAGCAAACATAAATTTGCCGTGCTTGCAGCTATAGTGGACTTCATGAAGAAGCGCCATCTTCAACGAGAGTTCGATCCTCTGAGTTTAGATGAAATCCTCGACCAAATTAAATACACGGATATCAGCCAGAGCGACAAAGCTTGGCTGGGGAATGAGGCGCTGAAAGAAAACTCTAAACTCGTTCACAGGGACGGTAAATTTGTGTTCAACCCGAAATATCACATTAAGGACAAGAGGCAACTGCTGAAGTTACTAGAGCGACACGAAGAGTCCGGCCTTGGTGGAATACTTCTTGACGATATCAGGGAAAGTTTACCCGACGCAGACGAAGTGGTCAAATCAGTCGGCCGTCGAATCACGTTTATAACTCGCTCTACAGACAAGAAAGTTATTCTGTTCTTTAAAAATGAACAATATCAGCTTGCAGTGGATGAAGAATTCCAGAAGCACTGGCGAGGAGTGTCTGTGGATGGGATCGGGGAAAACGACATTGAAAAGTATTTGATAAATGCTGGGATCTCGACAATGCAAGACTCTGGGATTAGAAAGCCAAAGCAGACCCAGCAGCGAAGAAAACCAAACAGAAAACGAAATTTCAAGAAACTGAACACGCATTTAGATGAGAGCACCTTAAAGGACTATTCGGAGGGCTGACTATATAAAAAGATGTTTCAACTACAAATTAGTGTAGATAAAATTTGTATAAATTACTTGTAAGAACGATCATTGTATTCAATTAAGCACCAGTTAACGTTGGCCAAGGCACTGGCTGACACACTTTTGACAGACTACAAATGCATCAGCTGCAGACCAAGACATGGGCTGACTAACATACTACTGACACCTTAGCCAACATAATACGATGCGTTGGCTGACACACTACTGCCAAATTGGCCCGCATGCCTTTTTTGACTATTACAATAATTGCAACTCTTCCCTCCCTTGTTGCAGACCAGCAGGGCTAGCAAAGTCATTTCAAAGCCATGTTCTTTTATAAAGGATGCATAGAATGCCCCTGTAATGCAAGGTCAACATCTACAAAGGCAGTTTCTCTCGTAGCTTGTGTGGCAACAAACCGGTGAGACAAATTGCACAAGATGTTGCCTAGCAAAAATGTACATGTAGTCTGAATAGGGCATCGTGAAACCTCTCTTGCAGCTTGTCTACCTTACCCTTCATTGACCCTTTAGTTTTGCTTGCATCCATTCTACATTTACTGGACAGTTAACACCTCTGCTTTCTCTCCTCTGGTACAGCTGTAGGTCATAATGGTACACAGTTTCTTGCTCTGTTGACACCTTATGATCCTGCTGTTGTATATTCAGGTTCTTCCTGAGTAACATGCAATAGCAAGTTGGAGAATTTCCATTGAAACAAGTTAATTTAAAGTACTGAAAGAGACTACTATGCACTAGGAACACCCACAGACAGAAATGTTTGAATGGCAAACAAAATAAACACAATTAATGGTCACTGGACATCCTTACAATACTTCATACAATGTTTTGTTTGTTCATTTGTTCAAAAACAAAAAGCTTTGGAAGGGCAGTTTTGGAAGCTTTTGAGGTGTTGCATGTCTACTGTAGAATAATGTAATGGAAATAAAATGTTGGTAGTAATGCTCTACTTTGTGGCTATGTTTCTTGAAGTGATTACGATGGGTGCTGTGGTGTTACTTTTGCCACCTATCTTGCAACAACACAGCTTGTGTTTTTGGGGGGAGGTAGACTCTTACAGCCCTCTAGTTTCTCATATTTTTAATTGATTGTTGAACATGCAGATAAAATCGTAAGAGAACTGGATGCCAGCGCAAACCAGAAGACTTGTCAGGGTTGAGGGTGGGAACTGAGAAAAATATTCTTCATTTGGTTCGGTTTGCTCGCTTGCCCACCCCCAAACCTGCGTGCTTCACGCTTGCTTCGTTTGCTTTTTCTTTCACGTGCATTGAACTAGAGAGGCTGTGAACAGTCTAGATGGGAGGGGGCAATAAAAAAAAAAACATAAAAAGGAGGTTAAGATCTCATTAATGTTCCAGTGATAGCAACTGCTCAACAAAATTTGAATTAACACTTAATTTGTTTAAAGTACTTTTTATTCCAAAATGCGTACCAATAGGTAATTATTCACAATGTTGTACATTTAAATACATCTCTAATAATAAATTCATTAATGAGTGATTTCAAGACATAATGCACAATGCCAAGAATGACTGAATTGGATGTCTCTGCACATGTACTGCATACTAAAAAATATTTACCATATTATCTTGTTTAAAGTCATTATTCTTATTATTTACTATGGCATGAAAAATGTAACCTGCATTCTCCCAATTGTTGGGAGTTTTTACGTCTACTCATTACAATTTTTTATGTTCACATGATCGACAAATTATGTATTAAATTTCTTCAAGAGAAAAAGAGACACTGTCCAAGAATTCTGATTGTGTTGGTGGACTTGCACTAAATCTTATCTTACTTAATTTGAAACACAGCTAACCAACTCTTCATAATTTGACAATTGAGTTAAGTAAGTAACTCAATAAGTTGCCTGTAAGCCCTTCTGCAGTTCACTTGTTTTCTGGCCTGAGCAATGTCACTACCTCACTTGCCTGTAAATTATGATCACAAGTGATTGACAACTCACATTGACAGTCAACTACGGTCCACATTGTTAACAATCTGTATTTGTATTTCATGATTTCAGTTATTTCCTCAGCTCTCGTTTCAATATTTTGCCACTGGCTGTCTTGGGAATCTGTTCAAGAAACTCCACGCCTCCTCTAAGCTTTTTATGTGGTGAAACATTGTCAGCGACAAAATCAATGATCTCTTTCTCTGTGATGTCTCCTTTTGGGACAATGAAAGCTTTAGGAATCTCTCCAGCCTCATCGTCAGGGATACCAACCACTGCAACATCCAGAATGTTTGGATGGGTGTGAAGAAGAGCTTCTAGTTCTGCTGGTGCAACCTAGGCACAGTGAAATTATGATCATTGATTTGCAACAAGTCAACCAATCTCCATTTAGCAGTGAGCTGTAAAAATAATAAATTACCTCCAAAAACTGATATGACTTTAAAAAGGACCTCAATATTTTAACACAGTAAACGCACGACATGTGGGAGGCACGATGGCCTTGTGGTTAGTGTGCTTGGCATCAGGTTCAAGCCCTGGCCAGGGACTTTGTGTTGTGTTCTTATATTAGTGGAGACACTTTATTCTTACAGTGCCTCTCTCCACCTAGGTGTCCAGGTATAAATGAGTTGCAGAAATTAAAATGCTGGGGGTAACACTGTGATGGATTAGTATCACATCCAGGGGGTACATGTAAGTAGAAATACTCCTAGTCTCTTTATGCTACAGAATTTACCGGGAATGTGAATGGAGGGAACAATAAAACAAAACAAACAAACAAAATCAGGACAAGCTCTGGCCTGATGCACCACTTCGCTTGTATGCAGACAGTTAACCAATACACACAATACAAAAGTTATTTACAACAAAAAAAGATATAAATCCTGAACTTCAAAAGACCCCTTCAACCATGGCTCTCCTGAGAGAGGTCATCTGGGCATTCAAAAGGGGTTTTAAATTTAAAAACCCTGAGAGGGGAATATCTTTTTTGTGAAGTTAACCAATGTGTTGATTACATCAACCTTAATTAACTTCAAAGAAATTTACCTGAAATCCTTTGTATTTAATGAGCTCTTTAAGTCTGTCTACAATGTAAAAATGTCCTTCCTCATCATAGTAGCCTGTGTCACCACTGTGGAACCATCCATCAGAGGTTATACTCTCAGCTGTAGCTTTTGCATTATTCAAATAGCCTATCAGTGCAATAAAACATATTTATTAACAACTTACAGGTAATCAAGTGAAGGTTAATCTGATAGGCTCAGATCATCACACTCTATGCTGCATGTGTGGGATCTGGGAACTAGAAAAATCCCCCATATTACCACTTCTAACTGTAGTTTGTTTCTGGCAGGCCAGAGTTCACAACTGCTCAGCCTCCAGCTAAAAGGGATTGTCACCATGAAAGATATGGCTGCTATCCTACTGCAAAACTACCAAAAGTCAGGCTGGATTTTGCGCGCTGTAGCTTTTATTTTTTAGGTGCCTCGATTTTTAATTTATTGCCTTTAAGTTTAAGAAACATTAATTCTAGAGTTTTATTTAGGAAAG